TTGCTGTATGGTTTTGTCATCAAAGTAAAACTTTCTGTATTGGATGGAGAAGTTTGAGAACCTAATCTTTGCTCTCAAATAGTTTATGGTCTAATCAAGAGGGAGGAACGAATCCCTGGCTAGAAGCTTTTAGACAAAAGTATAGATGAAGTGTGTGAACAGATGGTAGCCAGAAAGAGGATCCCAGTGGCCAGAGTCATGCAGCAGGGGATGCTAAGCTGCATTCTTCCTAAAAGTGTCTTGGAGCATGCTGTAGCCTCCAGGAAAGAGCTGTTGTCTCCACAGATCAGGTGGTCTCGGAAGAGTTTCTTAGGTAGGAGTTAAAACAAAAGTGATGCCCAGCACCACTCTCTGGTACCCACCCAAGTGTCTCCAGGGAAGCATAGAGGTTCACCTGACTTGGGTGCCACGGTGCTACCAAAGGATGTTGTAGGGAACAGCTCAAGCAAAAGGCCCCAGGGCTTTGGGGTGTGGGCAGCAGCAGACTTGGAAACTTCATCGTGGTCTTATTCTCTTAGAGCTGCTTCTGGGCTAGACCATGAATGCTCCCGGCCCTGGGTCCTATCAGATCTCCTACCCTGAGCACACCTTGAGGTGCTCCCCAACTCTCCCAGCTCCAGCATCTGGGGTCTGCTCTATCACTTACCCACAGTGCCCCCGGGCTTGCTGGGGGATGCTCCTTTAAGACTCTACGTCCTCCACAGTCCAGCCCTGGTTCAGATCTAGCCATGTTTGTTCAGGACATGCTGTGGTTTGCAGGTCCAATGCAAAAGCAAAATATAAAGTCACTTGTTGAAAAAGAACGAAAAAAGCCAAAGGTAGGCATGGTAGCCCACAGCTGTAATCCCAGCACTCAAAAGATTCAGGCAAGAGGACTGTGAATTTGAGCCCAGGTGGCTACACAGAGAACAAGGAACAAATAGGAAAAACTTCAAGATGACAGCAGAAAGCATTAAACCAATCCTGACTTCCTTCGAAGTGCGAAATCCCCATGACTGCCCAAGTGGCACCTTCATGATGCCAGCTGAGTCCAACTAGGATCTAGGCCAGACCCTAGGTCAGATTTAAAGCCAAAATGTTTGACAAGGCAGCATGCTCCCACCCTCGCCCTCATCCCCTGATTCGGTTAGTTGGTATCTTCTGCCCACAGCATCAAGCTGACCATCGGCCCTGACCCAGTTGGATGCCTTTGTAACCACCTGGAGACCTGGCCGTCCCTGGCTTCTGAGAAACCTCAAGAGTTTCCCCTAACTGCACACCGCACCTCACTGTGTGACCTACTAGAGACAGGTGGTGGCAGGGGGCAGAGGGACAGCAGAGGGGGTTTACGACGTGCAGCAAACCTACGTTCTGAGGAGAGAAGCCTAGCAACTTCTCCATGACACATATCAAAGCAAAGGCCCTCAGCTATGTGCCAGCTAGGATCTAAATCGGGTCTAGCTGGGAATCCTCAGACAATCCTGGCCCTGGGTCCCTTCAATCAGGCACACCCTGCCTTCACCTGCCTCCTGTGTGCTCTCCTTGGGGGTAGCTGACACTCTGGAACACAGAGCCTCCGCTTTGGCCCCGCCCACCCGAAAGGTCAGAACTAGCCCTGGCACACCGCCCACTCTGCCACGGTGCAGGTGTCCTGGATGGCTGCACAGAGGCAGAAGAGTCTCGCATTAGTGGCTTCTCAATAAAATCGTGGGTTTCTCTTTTACTCAGTTTGTTTCTTATACTGAATTGGAAACCAAGACCTCATGCATCCCTGGCTCTCCCGAGGAGCATTGTCTGACTTGTGGTAGGAAGTGGAGGTCTTAACTAGCCATTTTTCTGGGGAGTCTGCAGAGTTTCTCCCTCTGATCTTATTTCCTGCTCCCCACTCCTTGCCCTTGACCCAAACGATGACTGGCCTACTTTCCCAGATCTCTAGGCTCCACACTCCAACTTTGGGTTTTGAAACAGGGATCTTGACAAGTCAAGCAACGCCCATCCCTTTGACCTATTTACATTTTTTTACATTTGTTTATTTATAGTGTGTGTGTGTATGCATGTGCCTGCGTGTGCACATGCACTTGTGGGATTTAGTTCTTTCTTCCCAGTGTGTCTATCCCAAGGATTGAGCTCCAGTGTTCAGGCTTGGTGGCAGGTGCCTTTACCCACTGAGCTCTCTCGCCAGCCTCTCTTTTTTATTATTTTTAATTAATTTAGTTAATGAATTAATTTTGAGAAAGGATCTCTTTGTAGTCCGGACTGTCCAGGAACTTGTTATGTAGCCCAGGCTGGCCGTGAACTCACAGAGATCTGCCTGCCTCTGCTTCCCAAGAGATTAAAGGTATACTCCACTATGCCCTGCCCACCTTTTATATTAATGAATTTATTATTATTATTATTATTATTATTATTATTATTATTATTATTATTAGTGTGTATTGTATGAGGACACGTATTTGACATGATTTCTGTGTGGAGGTCAGAGAAGATCATTTGAGAATTCCTTCTCTCCTTTCACCTTGGATTCTGGGGGTCAAACTCGGGTCATCAGGCTTGTATAACAAGCCCCTTTACCCACTGAGGCATTGCACAAGCCCCCTTTGTCCTCTGAAATTCAATGATCACCTTTGACCTCATGAACACCTGCTAGCTTAAGGCGGGCCATTAATCCTTATGAGTGCAAGATCTGAACAAAACTTCTAGACGGCTAAGACCCAGGAAGGAGGACCCTGGTGCCCAGAGTAGATGTGACAGGAAGTCACCCTATTACCCAGGGGTCTTGGTGGACCTGGAGGAGAGTCGGCCTAGGAGAACCACTGTGGGCTGTTTCGTTTCACACCTCCAAACAGAGGTCTTTGGGCATGCCTGGAAGCAGGGCCTTGGTTGGGCACCCACACAGGCTAGTGATGATGTAGATCTCCAGCCCTCAGGAGGTGGGGCTGCCACAGCACAGGTCCTAGCTCCAGTGTTTAGTTTCTCTGGCCCTACCTCACGGACGATCACTACGAGCCATAAACTCAGTGTGACCAGAGCATCACCATCACAGTCTGTCCACATGCAACTGTCTCATTTCACCACGGAATGAAAAAGAGGAACCAAAACTTGCTCAGGCTGTTTCTGGGCTTTACCTGAGGGAAGGGGAGGGAGGGTCCCCTCATTCTGACCACGTGAAAAGTCCCACAGAAGCCCCGGTAGAGGAAGCCTCAACTGGGGAGGGGAGGTTGGAGGAATCAGAAATGAGGGGAAACCTGAGGCCAGTCTGGGAGGGATTGCATCAGGAGGGATCTGTCTAGGTTCTGTCGCTCAGCCTGCAGTGTCTAGGTTCTGTCACTCAGACTGATCACAGAGACAGTTAGGAACGTGTGCCCTCCCAAGGAACAGTCTGTCTGGTTCCATTCCTTTGGTAGATACATAAAGAGCCACCATGTATTTAGAACACAGAGTCAGAGCACAAGAATGAGTTTTCTCTTGGGAATGAAAGGCAGAATACTTCAAATCAATACTATCTTGGAAAAGCCAGCAAAATGGCTCAGTGGGTAAAGTGTTTGCTTCCAAGCCTGACGACCTGGGTTCAGTCCTGTGTCTCACATGGTGAGAAGAAAGAACCAGCTCCGCGGGATGGTCTCTGCTCTCCTTACATGTGCATGCACACAAATAAATATAAAAAATTTATTTTTAGCCAGGTGGTGGTGGTGCACGCCTTTAATCCCAGCACTCGGGAGGCAGAGGCAGGCGGATCTCTGGGAGTTCGAGGCCAGCCTGGTCTACAAGAGCTAGTTCCAGGACAGGAACCAAAAACTATGGAGAAACCCTGTCTTGAAAAATCAAAAAAAAAAAAAAAACATTTAAAGCAAGTGCTAACTCAGGAGGTGTTTTAAGAGGTTCCTAAGGGATGCAGGGGCGTGTGCCTTGACTAAACTGTCTTCACAGTGCAGGCTCACGAGGTGAACTCACATGAAGTCTAAAGGTGAGAGG